TACCTGCTTTTTCTGATAGAGTTGACTGAAGGAGAATCCATTTTTAGGATGAGTGCTTCACTGATTAGAGCTTGACTACTAGATCTCTTGGTCTGTTTATATTGATGATCCTGATAATTGAATAGTGATGCGAGATTGAATCAGATTTAATGAGTAGTCCTTTTTTTTGAAGAGAAGCAGAAAAGAGAGAGAATCTGGCAAGAGCTTGACGAAATAGGCCTTATGCTTGTATGTCTTATGTGCAGACGGTCCTGAACCCAATTGTAGAATGACAGTGTTATCATGTCGTCATTCATTTTCTGCTTGAAATAATATTTTTTTCCATTTTTTATTGTTGAGATGGAGGATATCATGGATAAGCGATGGCGAGATTACACGTAAGTAGTCTGAGTTGTCTTTTCTTTTGATGAGCTCGAAATTGTTAGGACTTAAAAACTACAAACTCTGGCCTTACAATGAGCTTTAGGGGAGTCTTGCAGCCCATCTGACTTGTCTAGACATCCCTAAATTGAAAGACGCTATGGCGTAGTCTTCGCAACCGCTCCGTCCGACGAAGTAATTGGCTTACGCCAGGATTAGTTGAAAATGGAAACATTTGGCATCCAGTGGAATAAATTAGTTAAAATCACGCCTTACTGAAAGGACGCATGAGCGAAGTGATTTGCAAATTATTCCTCATTTAGCATACGTCGTAATGAGTGATAGAGATTCAAATATAAATTTCAAGAGTTATGATCATCTATTTATAAAATTATTATCAATTAAATATATAATTTCTATTGAGGAGATTGCTTCTATTGTTTGATCTGGATTACTGCATTATTGACTGCTCTTATGCAAATTACCGACAGTTAATGCTCTCTCCTCTAAAGTTATAAATGAAAGATCAAGATTCTTCAATTAGCATTCGAGAGTTTCCGTTAAGAAAAAGTTAGAAAACTGGCATTATGTGTTTGGGGTGGCGAAAGGAGTAAAAAGTCGGGCAAGGCAATCAGGAAGTTTTCCCTGTTTTGCTCCCTTCCATGAAGATATAAGATAGCGAGATAGCTATATAATAATTGAGCGAGACATTCAAAAAAGGAACGATACTTTTTTAAAGTGACGAATAATGAGATGAACATGTTATACGTAGCTTGAAACGCTGCCAAATCTATATCTGCGAAGCACTTCTCTGAAAGGAACTACGGAAATTTTTTCTCTGTTAAAAATCTCTTATAGGACCTTTGAAGTGCTCGAATCTTCAGACTCAATCCAAAACAACAGCGTGAAGGCTGGATATCAATAAAAACTACCTCTATAATAAGATAATCTTCTGCTGCTTGTATTAGGTTGAAACTGGTGGTATAAAGTAACTACTGACAAGTCGCACAGGCTACTTTTGGCGTCAAAAAAAACTTTCGTAACTTCCGCCACAAAAACAGATAGAACAGCAGATATGGAAGAAAGTTGGAGTCAGCATTTCAAGCTGCACTTATGAA